TGTCAGAGATGCAATTAGATAGAATTGAGACAGCCACATCAGTGTCAGGTTTGGTATGGTATCATCAGTGTTGAAATGATAGCTGAGGCCATGTGATCTTAAAAGCTGACCAAGTGGAAACATGTAAATGCTGAAGAGCAAGTGGCCCAGTATTGAGCCCTGAGGTACACCAGACTTAACAAGACTAATTTCAGACCTATACCTATTAAGAGAAGCAAGTGACAGCGATCAGTGAGGTAAGACTTGAATTTGAGAGCAGTGTCAGAAACTCCCAAACACAGTCTCAAGACGAGAAAGTAAGATGTCATGGTCAACAAGTGTCAAAAGTAGCACTGAGATCAAGAAGGATGAGTATAGAAAGAGAACCAGAATCAGAAACTATTAGAAGATCGTTAGTGACTTTGATCAGGGCAGTTTCTGTGCTGTGAAGTTAACCCCTGGTGAGCGTGTGTACTCATCAGACATGATGCACAAGCACACCGTGACATAGTGCCAGTTTGTTTGAGCGCAGCCCAGTGTGCACATGAACTTTAGGCACTTGTCAGGATAGAGCCAGTCTTTATGGTTTGTCCTCAAGACAGCCCACAGAAAAATCCCTCTCAGAAACAAACGGCAGCTAAGAAATCACTTCTTTATAAGATAAACAGAAGGAAGAGATAAATGCTTCCCTGTGATGGATATAAGTTTTACATGTCTGTTTTCAGTTGTACCAGAGTCAGGTGAACGTCTTTGGCTTAGTGGGCACCTACTTCATATTAGTAGCTATATTCATATTCAAACATCAAAAACATTCATATGACATGTGGATGGCACTGTACAGTTATACAGTGTGGGACATCCCCTTCAGACTACTATAATAATAATAGAGTCCTAGAATAGATTTAGAAATTGCACAGATATGTTCTGTTCGAGCTTTAAGGAAACAAATTCTATGGGTATGTCTTTGTCTTTTGAAAAATGTTGGACTTTTATTTCTGTTTGATAAAAACCTGTAAACTGAAAGCTTTAACCATGCCTTTTGAAACACAAAGAGACTGCTTTAAAAGAACTTAAGTGGAAAGTAGAAACCCTTTCTTTATAAGCTTTATTGTTCATGAAGAAATTATCAGGCACATGACTTTAGAGTTGCATGTTATTATAAATGAACAGGCTAGTTTGCCAGATTACATTTCTGTTTGAAGCTTGCACTTTACAAATATTTACAAAGTTATATATTGTTTTTAAGAAGTTCCTTCAGATTTTGTTCATTAAGGAAATACCTAAGTTACACATTGAACACCTTTTCTGGTGATCTGTACTTTCATAAATGTAAGGCAAAGAAAGTATGGGACTTGCATGCACATCAAAGTCTTGTTTGCTTTGAGCTGCACATAAAAGAAGTCTATCAAAGGAGAAAGCATGTGGAAATCTGCATTATAACAGAGCCCTGCTGAATCTTGAGTGGCCATAACAGATGTGCAATCACAGCAGCTGCTCCAGAAGATGAGGTGATCAGACTGAAAAAAATAAATTATTGATTTTTTCATTCAGTAATTATGAGTGCACAACACAAAAGATTTCAGGGTTGTTCAGCTTCCTGTTTAGTATTCTGGGTTGTGTGGCCTCAGTATATCATGATTGCCCAAGCATTCAGCAAGTGTGACCAACACACCTAATATGCGTCACACTACACAATGTAAAGTTGGCAAACTTTCAAATCCTTGAACCTGAGGGCATCTGCAGATTGTCTCTGGTTAGTTAATCCAACTAACCATCAAAACTGAAGTAATACTTTGTTTTTACTTTTCCAAGGGGCTTGTTAACAGACATTGAGATCCCCACCTTTAGGATAGCACAGCAGGAGGTTATATCTTGTAGATATAACTTGACATTAGAAGTCTAATCTTTTTAAAGCAGTGACAATAACCCCATTCAGTCGGTTCCAGTTGTCTGGGAGAACACACTTACCACCCTATTTACCGGCATCCCGACCTGGAAAGAGACCAAGGCTGCTACCAATGTCAACCGGTTATAACCTGTCGTGTGCTCAATCGGGACAGGTTATCAAAAACAAAAAGACTTTCCTTAAAACTTGTCTTAGAATTATTTTTGGTTCATGATCCTCTTAAAAACCAGGAGGTTCTTGTAAAAGACAATCTCTGACTGCTTCAGGCACTGCTTTTATAGAGATCTGGTGATTCCAAGTGCCACCAATTCAGTGATTTCCTTATGGGCATGTGAAGAATGGGTTTGAATGGTCTGACCCCGCCCCTGTCTCTGGCCTCTACATAACATGCTTAGAATGTTTGCACCACTTGTTATTGCTGGGCCACTGCTGGATTAATCCTGCCTCTCTGTAGGCTTAGTGTTCCGATTTCAATTGCATTACTGTGCTACAAGGACAGAACCTTGATCCTTTTACCTATTTTCTGACTCATAAGATATGCATCAGCCTTCATTGTTAAATGAGTGTAACTGGCATCACACAACATGAGCAGCCCAGTTTCCACCTCTGTCAAGTCAGGGTGAAATTCAAAGGAGAGCTGTTTTTTTTTTTAACATATGTTTTTCATAGTTCTAACTCACCTTAATATATAGGAATCCATCCTGAGCCAGAATATTGATTAGCTCCTTCATTTATTCTCTGTATACTTGTTGCTTTTTTTAATTTGACGGCTCTGAGCTGCCAAAAGCTCCTTCTACCACAGACCCGTGTCCACTAGAAGTGAATGTGTGCTTGAGGCAGAACAACACAGTGCATTTCTCTCGCGCAGCTCTATGAGCCAGTCAGTCAATCGCCTTATGTGTATTACACAGTACTGTCACTAATGATGTGGTCTGGCCTTTTACTGAGCACAAGAGCTTGCAGAAAAGGAGGGGGGAGATTTATGTGAATTTCCCAAAGTTTATCTATCTGTTCACTACAGGAAGCCACTTATTCCTACTTGAGAACCACTAAAACCCAGAGTCTAACCTGGAAGCACAGGGCACAAGACAGGATACAGGGTCAGCAAAGGGCATGGAAGCAAGCACGCACACACAGGAACAGTTCAGACACCGCTGAGCCTGCGCATGATGCCTTGGGAAGGTGGGAGGAAACTGTGAAGCAGCTAGAGAAATCCCACATGAATGCAGGAAGAGCAAGCAAGCACCATACGGAGAGCTTCCCAAAATGTGAGGCGTCTGCCCTGACCATCACACCACCCCACTGCCCTAATTATTCTCATGTTGGGGAATCAATGGAAAATATATTGTCTTTCTTGTACTGTCTACTAGAGGGGTCTCCATCCCTGAGCCCCCGTCCAGCAGGTTGTTTTGTTGGCCATTATACTAACAGCTTATAATGACCTGGAACAACTGTACAGTGATCCATTCGCAGCTGTTTTTTTAAACAATGTAGTGTAAAGATAATGTGGAGCAAAATATCAGAGTACCTTTCAGCCCTCGGGCCCCAGACTTTCCTTAACAAATTGGTAAATGATTTCTGTGTGTCCCTAAGATTTAAAAGATGATTCAGTGAGCAAGAAGACAGCCTGGACTGCAGCCTCCAGGACCAAGGTGGAATCTCCATAGATTACAGGTGTTTGAATGATTCTTTCCACTTTTGAAGCTGGGTATTTTCACTACCCAGATGTTTGCAAATGACATACAGTTAAAATAATTGGGATCCTTTGGGATTTTGTTTTCAACACAATTGACTCCCCTTTGAAAAAATGTCAGAAGTTAGATGGCAAACAGGAAGATGGTACTGAACACTAAGCAAAAAGAATCCTGAAGGAGAAGGCTTGTGCCGTTTGAAAGGGAGGGAAGAAAATGCAGCTCAAGTTTACTAAGGATGTGATCAATAAACTCGCCTGCCCCCCCCCCCCTAATTTAACACTGCAAATTCCAAAATGAAATGTTGACGCAGTTTCATAGATTTTAATCCTGTAAAAAAACCTTATTCTTTGAGAACTAGAAACGGAGCCTCAAAGGGAGCTTAGTATAATAACAAATAAGCATGAAACCAAACTGATGGTGATACACAGCAAACACTGGGGAAAACTCTTCTCATAATCACTAATCCAAAGCTTTCAATTTTTTGCCTAAAATCTATAATGCAAAACATCTTTTAATAATTTCCATGCAAGAAATGATGCTGACATGACATGTTTTCACACTTGAAACGCAAGACATTAAATGTTGCATTTTTGTTTTTACCACACACTCAGTGCTTTGGTGAAAACTCTGCAGCTCTCCCTTCTCCTCGCCAACAGCAAATTGAAGATGCACATACAGTAAAAGACATCCTCTGACTGAAAGGCGTTTTATTTCTACTTTCCAAAGGCCATGCTAAGGATGTAAAGACCAAAATACAAACACTGATTTCAAACGCAAAGGCTCTTGAATCAATTCCCTTTTTACACACACTGAAACAGTTAAAACAGATAAAACATTGTACATTTAATAAAAAAAACAGCATTGTATAGACTGAAAGCAGAATATTTAACAGGGTATGTCAATGATTTGTTGAACAATTTAACTATTTACAGGCAACAGACATTCTTTCTTTGCTTTCCTACTTCTTAGGAAATTCTGGATCGTATGTATCGTATATAATTTGAGGAGTGCTGCTTCATTTTAAATCCAGTAAACCTGACAGTGAGATGTTCATGAAGCTGTGGTTCTGATATTTCAGGTGCTGCTTTACTCAAAGAAGCAAAACTAGAGAACCTGTCACTTCTGCTTTCACTTTGTGAAAACAGGAGTCTGTCAGGAAGGAAGGAAGAGGCACTTCTTGATTGGCTGGTTTTTTCGCTTTGTTCCAAAGACTTTGCTTTTGTTTTTGGTTCTCTTTCCAGACACTAGGTGGTAGTGTTGTCCAATTCGCCCATCACACATAGGCACTTGGTAGACAGTATCCAAGGCAGTGTCTTGTCTCTGCTATGTCATGAGAATTGGCTTTTGTCGCACTTCAAGAATATCTGAGGATAAAGGATTAAGCATTAGAATGCAGGGATTAAATGCGTTTAGTCATCATTGTGTCACCTGCAAGCACAGGACACGTCACACACTGATCCTTCCTTGAATGCAATTTAAGTAAGATTTGTTAGTACCTGTAAATGCTATACAATGTTTAAACAAAAACATCACACAAGTAAAAGGTGTATACAAAGTTCTAAGGTTATGTCCATCAGGAAAAATTGTTTAGACTATTACTGTCCACATTTTTAGTGTTCTGTCTCTAGTACTACTTAGTTTTAGTTTGTCTTATAATCTAGATCAATGGCTTTCAATCCTGTTTGTTTCAGCTCAGTCTTTAATCAGCAGTGCTATATGCTGCATATAATTGATCTGCTTGCTATAGTTTAGACTTTTCTGCTGTCCTTGGTGTTTAAAAAATACCCCAGTTAAAGTGCATTTACAACACCTTCAGCACTCAGAATGTTATGTTGTCTCTCCTCAACTTGCTGATGAAGAATTTACTCCCTAATTTCAGACTAAACAGATCTTGATAGGTGATCAATTCATGATGAACAAATACTAGGGGGAAGGACACGGTATGTGACAGCTCCCACAGTGAGTCAGTGTTTTCCTTAAATGCAATCAGTTGTATTTCAGCTTACACTCCTCAATGAGAGTAGCCATGAAACTCAATAATTGGCACAGGGGCTCATATCAATTACAAGATTCATTTAGTGTTTTAAAAGCCAAAAGCAAACTTAAGAAAAGGACTCCAATAGCAAGTCAAAATAAATATAAATTAGCCTGTGATTAAGGACTCAGCTGGAGCACAATCCAGAAGAAACAGTGTTGACACAGGGCCAGGACTGATAACCACGTTACTGGGGTATTTTTTAAACCAAAGCTCACAAGTTCAGAAAAAACAAACTCTACGCAAACAATCAGATCAATTATTGGTAGCAAGCAGCACTGGCACAGCTGCACTTTGTACAACTTGTGTAAGTTGCACTTGTCCTTTGTGCCCCCACTCCCTCTAGAGAAAAGCTGGAATTCCCAGCTCCACACAGTGAAGTCTGAGGAGCCCACCTGTGGTGATGCGGTACAGGGGTAGAGTGACATACGTCAGGTGGGAGTAGAGCAGGAAGTTCTCCTCACTTCTGTTCAGCTTCAGCCAGGACCCCACCAGGGACCGGCCTGTTCCTGACAGCGATCTGGACCTCAGGTTGGTGGTGTTGTGCAAGTCTGGGAGACACAGAGGACGGACTAAGAAGCGTTGTGTCAGATCTCCTCAGCAAAGATCCTAAAGCACTTTCATTCAAGATTTTGAAAGAACCTTTCTTGAGTATTCTTTAAAAACAGAAATGAAATATTTCTAAAGGTCCTTAATGACTTTATTCTTCAGAGTTCACAGAGGTAGAAAAATATTATATTTTCATATTTTCTTCCTGTATATATGTCTTGACAGGAACAGTCGCTCTTATTTATATGAGATTTACATATCATTTAATTTAATCGTAACAATGTCAACAGACTTCACTAATGGAAACCCCACATATAAGTGTTTGGATGGGTAAATGAACAACACAAGCAGCACAGTGAGAGGAAGTTTTAGTTATGGACAACTGCAAACCACTCAAAACGTAACGGATGAAAGAGTGCTTCAGTGAAACGGAGCAGACGTAGCTGCAGGGTCATCACCTCCATTGTCCTCATTCTCCCGAAAGAACTCCTCGCTGTCGTTGGCCGAGTGGGATTTCTTCATCTCGGCGATCCTGTTCCGGGGCACCTTGCGCCTGAGCGACGGGGAGAAGAAGGAGGGCCGGTTATTCCTCTCCGGGGTCGGCGGGGTGCTGAAAGAGGTCACCTGTGAGGGCAGCAACACGGTTCAGCCCGCATTAAAGATACGCATCGAGCAGGGAGCTGCGTCGGCACGCGTAGGCTGCAAAGGCACAGCAAACGGTCATGCGGAAAGGGAAAGAAAAGAAACAACGTTTTGGCTGTGGAGCCTTCTTCGTCTGAAGAACCTGAACCTTTTCCCCAGCGATGTGCTGCAAAGCACAGTCTATCTCATGTCGTGTTTGTACAAACACAAAGTTCCACCGTTTTGAAGCTAAAAAAAGGCTAGGCACATGCAGAGCTAGTTTAATTGATGTCAGTTTTAAACCTTAGTGTGACTCAGCCAAAATACATACATCGAATACATGCTGTACCTTTAAAGCTACAGTAAAACCTTGGTGTTTGTGAGGATCTGGAACTGGTCGGTTTCCACGAAAGGTAAATTTGTGAATGTGGGATTTATTGACTTAAAGGAAAAATAGGGTATAGTTCTACAGCTCTTGAAACAAGCCTTTTGCTGTCAACCTTTTGTTATAATTGTCAATTGTTTCAGAAAGAGTGTTAGTAATTATTAGTAGTATTTTTATGAAATTGAGTACAGGAAACTGTAAAAAGCATTGTTTCTCCCTTATCATTAGAGTTATTACACATGCAAACTGATAAATTTGATCACTGTATGATATTATAGCTTACCCTGTATTAACGCATTCACTTTACTTTTTACAACTTGTTTTTCTAAATTCCAAAACAAATTTGGAACAAATACTGGCATTTTATAGTGTAAATCTAGATCTATAATTCAGGTGGTATCTATGCAGAGACAATAAACTCACTACGACTGCTTCACATGCCTTCCTAAGCGATGAAAGCTACTTTCTCTAAATTAACGGTAATAGGGAGGCCTGCCTCACTGCTTCTGAGTGTCTGAAGGTGAAAATGAAGATGTCTTTCCCTCAAAGGCGCAACAGAACGTGGGGATAATGTGTGCAGAACCAACCCGCTCGTGGACGGGAGAGTCAGGGTTCGAGTCCTCTTCAGTCCCACAGGGGGAGGTGTCTCCGGTCGGAACTCGACTCACGGCCATTTCTGCATGACCCTTTCCCTGGGGCCCCTTCATCCTCACAAACTCCATGTTGTTGTATTTGTAGAAGCCAAAGGACATCCTCTGCGCCATCTTAGCTGCCACGCTGACCTGCGCAAAGACAGCAGAGAAGATGTTTTCCCACATATCTGCATTGAAGGAAAAGCTGCAGTTCCAGGAGCTCTTCTGGAATACTGATATAATATTGAAAGTTAAAACAATGTCGATCCTACATTCAAGATTCAGGTTCACTGGACAGTTCAACAGTGAAAAGATACTAAGGGGACACAAATAGAAAGTATGTGAAAAAGCCTCTAAAACTGAGAACAGGAGGCACTTTTTTTGACAGCAAGCGCTGTGGGAGTCTGGGAATGAGCTGCCCACCCATACTGTCAAATCTAAAAATATTTATTTTTTCAATAAATGGCCGGATGAGATAATTTAGCAACTCAAACCCAAACAAGTTAGATTGGGCCATGTGGCTTCCTCTAACTGGCAAACGTTGAGTCCCTTGTGTCCTCCTTAGGCGGAATAATTTCAGTCAATTATGTATTTGTTTGTTAAAAATCTGAATAATTGGACACATGAGGCATAACGCCCCTGTATAAAAATATTATAGAAAGGAAATTGGTTGGCATCTTTCACAGTTTGTATGATATCCATCTACAAAGACACTGCTTTGTCTTCATTGTACATTGTCACTCAATCTAACATTTTCCAAAAAATGAAAAATCACTTCTGAGCACAAATTTCTCACCCGGTTGTCATAGACCTTCTTGAGAGCTTCGTATCGTATTGAGCCTTGGAAAATGACTCCCTGGAAAGTGTTGCTTTTATCACTGGCAACGAGTTCAACACAGACCATCTCCCCCTCTCCCACTGTCATATCACTGAAGACCTGTGAACACAAGACACCTCACACACTGATCCTTCTGCATGATCTTCAGTGCTCTTCCTCAGGTAGTCTAACCTTGTTTTGGTACTACAGCCTACAAATTCTCCAATGTCATCTTTTATAGCCTTTACCGCATTTCTGTGGAGGGGCTACCAACCCTTGGCAGGCATGATCTGAGGTCTCCAGCCCATTTGTTGGCTCATTTGTTAGACTGTCAAAAACCAGTGTCACTTTGTCCACTTAGCAAACGTCTCTAGAGTTCTCCATCGCCCTTGGCCACATCCGGTCCCATGAATGTTAAATCAAGAGTTACATTACCACACCTGCAGCCTCCTGAAAGAGAATCCCACCCTCACACTCACGTAAGCTGGCTATTCTGATGAGATATGAGGCCTTGGACATCGAGAGAAGAGGGGGCTGTTACCTCTTCAAAGTTGTCAATCATGAAGAAGATGTTGGGATAGCTCATTTTGGATTCCTCGCCTTTGCTGTCCATGGGGTGTTTGCTGGGAGAGGCGAACACTTGCTGGAAACCAGAGAAGACGTGCTTGTCAGGGACTACCAAAAAATAACCTTGCCGAAGTCACACACGCACACAGGCACACACACACACAAATGTGACCCGACAGGTGAAAAAAATGTCCCCCACAGAGACCACATCCCTGGTGTGCAGATGTCTTTGGAAAAAATGAAGAGATTTTATTGCTTTTACCACTCCATGGCAGAGTGAAATGCAATGTTTTGGTGAGCTAAGAATAGTGGCAAATGACCAATGCAATCCCAAGGCTACTGTACAGTACATCCCCCATTTCAAATATTTTGAAATGTAAAGCTTATAACATGGTTTCAAACTGTTATGCAGCCAAAACCAGAAAGTCCATACTTTGGACATACAGCTTTAAAAAACTATGTTGGCTAGAAACGTTTGGTGAAGAAAAAATCTGCAGGATGAAAGGGTAGAATCTTTTGTCTTTGTTTCTCTAATCTCTTTTTGTGTTCTGTATGCTCTTTTTTCATATTGTTGTAAAAAGACTGCTTGCCCATGCAAGAAAGACCCTTGTGATACCAATCAAGAATTAATTTACCATACAGTCGTCTTTTCAAAAGCAGAAACATGAATAAATGAATTTCAATATGTGATGATACACTTCTGGCAAAAAACCTGAATGAAAAATGTAAATTTCCTGTTAGCCTTATTAACACAGCATGCTGAATATGCATGACAAACGACACTCGTAAATATAAATACGTTTACAGTGCCTTCAGCCCGCTTTTTAACAACAGAGAGAATTTGTAATAATTTGAAAAATATAACACTTTCAATCCCTCAAGGCATAAACAAACAGAAACAACCTGGTTTCCTTTTCATGTTGAACAGCAGGCACCAATAGGATACTGCCACCCAAAAACAGGGAGAACAATGTCTTTGTGCTGTTGATAGACAGGTAAGGTGGGCCACACTGCATCTTCCTTCCCACTCTGTGGAGATCTAGGGTCTTCACAGCTCTTTCATTTCCTTACACACCCTTCTGGCCTGTCAAGAATCTGACACACACCCTCTTTTCGTCTCTCCTTGAAGGCAAAAAATGGCTCCTTCTTGAGCTGCTTTGTTTGGGTGTGAATGAGGTTTGTATCATTTACATCTTAATTTTTTTTCATACCATTACTAAAAAAGTATTTTCAGATATGCCATTTTACCTTTATGCCTTCCCTCAATATGCCTGTTATTACTACAAGGTGTATGAAAGAATCTTTCTTGAAACAGACCTGCAAAAACACCAAAATATTTTTCACATATCTGCAGGCTTTTCAGACCTTTACAGCTACACTTCTAGCTTCTTATCCAAGGTTACATACATTTGTGGTGTCAGTCCATGCCTGGTCTGAGAGGCATTCTCTGAAGCTTCTAGAAGATTCTCAGTCCCAAAGCTTCTTACATTGTCTCTGAGGCTCAATTCAAGATTCACAGACACGTTGTCTTCCTGGTTACAATTGCATCTCTCCTTGTTCCCAGAGTCCTGCATGTCTTCCCAGTCTTTGTTGCCTTTTGTTGGCATGTTGGGTGTTAAAATCCTTTTGTCCACACCAGAACAATAATCAGAAAAGGCAGGGAAAAGGACTGACATTCACCAGGACAGGCCAGAATTCTCCAGTCACCACCGCCGACAAATTATCAAGCACATTCATGTGCCTAGTGTAGTCTCATCACGTCACCCTGAAGATTGCTGTACTTAGTAACTATAAAGGTACATGCTTTATACCTTTTTATCACAGAAAATGTGCAGACTGTATTTATTGTATTTATTTTCTCTCATTTTTCTCTTTTGTCTCTTTTGCAAGCTTATGTTTGATTGCAGTGTATAAGCACATGGAGTATAAGCTCTCCAGTGTATGGTATTGGAGAGCTTCTTCCCAGCAGACATTTTTCTATTCATGGACAGTTCAGGAATGTATATCCCATGGATAAGGAGGCCTGCATGTAGTCTAATCTGTACTCACAAACCGAAATTGAGTTTCACAGTTTTAATGACCTTATATGACTTTCATGCAAATGCAAGTCGTCTGCTCCTTGAAATCTTCACATTCTCACAGTAGCTCATCCCCTAACTCCGCTGGAGAAGCCATGTTACATACTGTAAGTCTCCACAGGAGACCTCCAATTTTCTACTCCAAGAACAGAACAAACTTTGATTTCACCAGGTCAGGTCACCTTGAGCTTACACATCAAAAACCATAACAATTAATGAAAGAAAGGTCTTAAGAAACAGGCTCATCCTGCTTCCAAATACTTCTGTTCGCAGATTTTACAAGCTGTGTACTTCGATCTCTGCCCCAATAGTACAAAACACTGTTATCTGAGTGATCACCTAGGGGACCTTTGCTCTCTAATGATGTCTTCAGTAACAGTGCTTCCAGGGAAAAAAAATCAACAAATCAAATAAAAAATATACACAAGGTGATAAAAAAACTCTCAAATTATTTTTGGTCTGTTAATATTTAAAAGAATATGCCAACTTAGTGTATAAAAAAAGCTACTTCCATTGTGCAAACATCCCACAACCTGTTTTTCTGGAGTTACTTACATTTGTAGGGAAATTTTCTCGGCTTTCGCCATCACATTGACAGCATTAAACAATACACACGCACAAACACCAAGGACGAGCACACATGAATGTAAAGAGTCCGACCTCTGACCTGTGACTTCTTCTTGTGGACATGAATGTCCCCTCCATCTGAACGTGTACAGACAGCGCAGGTGACTACATAGTCCAGCTGGGAAAGAGAATGACAGCACTGAAAAACTGGAACTACATGCAAAACTCCTACAGCTGCCATACAAAAAGCTTTATACTCTACATGTGGCATGTTTGCCATTTCTCCATGGGTTAAGTCAAGATCTGGTGTGTTAGTGATGATTTGAGAGTGCTCTGTATAGTCTTTTTTTTCTCATTGCATATTCTTGGAAATATGCAATGAGAATATTTCCTATAAATGCAATGAGAAATTTCCTATAAGGAATTTTCATTTTCAAAATGTTCTCCCTTCATTTCCCAAACTTCAAAGATTGGACTTCGATAAGATTTTCTTAAACAAATAAATATCAGCAGTATTCAGTGCTGTGATACTGGTAAAATGCGGTCATAAATTTATTCTTCTAATGGCATCTAATTTCAAACTACAGTTACAGACTCAGCATTTATACATTTATACTACATCCTTTGTTTAAAACTAAATTGTATTCAAACAATAGAACAGTTTCACTGTGGAAAGCACACCGGGTGCTGACCAAGATCCACCTTACCTTCTGTAAAATGAGATTCAAGTAGACACTCTCCTCCCAGTCTATGTCTGGGTCTCCCAATCCTGGCAGCTTTTTGGAATCTCTCCGATAAACCTCCACCTCAACCTGTCGGGTATAGAAATACACCTTCACTGAGATTAAAATAACTCACTTTTAACTATTTCAAACTTCATGGATGGTATTTTTGTGTCTCTATGTTGGCCTACCAGGTAGATATATCTGTTCTGACCAAACTATCCTATAATCCTCCCCACATGTCAAGAAGGTGCCCACTGCCATGGATCCAAGAGGGACATCATAGATATAGCTATCGTTTAGGAATTTACTGGTATATAGAGCTATGCATTGAGTACTAACACACAGAAGACATGATGGATGTATAGATTAATACCCTCATCGTTTACTTTTTTAAATTATATAATGTTAAAGGGGTTGGGCAACCAGTTGACCTTGGACCCCTAGAGGTTTTTTGTTCCTCTCCTCCGTTGTCTTATGGTCTTCTGTTCTGTATTGACAAAATGTATTGGCAATTATATTGATGACCTTTAAATACTGCATGCTTCACATGTTAAAAAAGCCAGTTTACCTTCACAGTGATATTGAGGATACCATGCTCAGCATCACAGATGTTGGAGCATATACAGTATACAAGAGGGAAAAACTGACTTGAATTACCTTGTCTCATTCTAACAAAGTGTCTTTCTCCAGGATTGACTTCACATGACACAATTACCCACAGATTAAACACAAGAGATAGATGAATTGTCTCAAACAAGAAGATCAGAGGCTCTAATTACATTATTTGCACTTAATCACCTTCTCGCAAAAGTGGACAGAAGCGAAGCAGGAAATAGATCAAGATCTGGGCCAAGCTATAAGAAATAAAAGGGGAAAATGGATTCAAATGCTAGTGAAAGGCAAAGAACAAGGATTCCTGTCTTTGTCTAACAGCAGCTTTTGTGTCTCCCCTTTAAGATGCTCCCTGCTCAGATGCCTACTGCAGAGATGATGTAATCTTTCATTGAACCTGTCCTCTGGCCCCACGTTAAACTACAGACAAAATCTTTACTGCTTCTGTCTGGAATGCAGAACGCCACCAAGGAGAGACTAGAAACCCTCCCCTATAACTACTGAGCAACTTTCTCAAGGCTTTCAGTTTGTTACGAAATGCTGTGTAAAACAATCTTGTTCTTAAAAAATACATTTACAAGCATCTGAAAAAAACATAAGAAGTAAATGAAATACAGTATGCTTATTGACTTAATCACAGACAGAGCCTGTCTATTGTGACTAGGGGGAGCATCACCTCCGGCACACTGTTGTCTCTTTAAAGACGTTGGTATTTCTTAGATCAGCACACAGTTATGAATCAGGCGGTGATATTTCATGATGTGCTTTTCTGGGAATGTTATTTGCTTTAAAAAGTTAGTTTCACCACTACTATCACAAAAAAATAAATATATGTAATGCAACAAAAGTGAACAAACCAAAAGATAAAGGTAGCATCAGTATGCAAGTTCTAGACATTTTAACAGAAGGAATTAAGAAGCTTCTTTATATGATTAAAGCACAAGCCACTTATTATTTTTTTTACTTTAAGTGACACAACTCAGAGATGATGCTTATTAATTAATACACACACAGGAACACTTCCTTGTGTAAAGGCTGATGACAGATGATTCCACAATTCCAGTTGGTTTTCCTTTTCCCAAAACCTGCCCTCAAGGTAGACCAATCTTATATTGAAGGATCACACTTTCCATTTACTGTAAATGAGAAATGGACAAGACTACCTATGGAAGTCTCACGAAAAATGACAGAAACAGAAAATAATTATTTCACAATTGGATGTTTTGGATTTGAAGATGGTGCTCCCTGAGAGACTGATCAAAACTGTGCAACAGAAGACCTTATGTAGTTGTTTCAGCCACTTCTGTAGGCCTTGAAATATCTATGGAGATTAGGAAGTTACCTGACCTGTTAAAACAAATGTGGATCTGAACTGTTAAAAGTCCAGGCTATAGGCTGTATCCCATCACACAGGCATTTATCCCACAAGTCACTCAGGAACAAACCTGTGACTCAAACACCAGGGCAACATCATTCCCAAACATGTGTTGTGAACAGAACCATAAACTGTCTGTATTACATCTGCTAATAAAGAGGCTTTGATGACATAACGACTCTTTCCCCTGTAGGAATTGGGTCAAAGCTAGATAGAAACAGGGGGGAAAAGGTGGGTTTTCAGAGGAAGTACAATAAATTGACAACAGGCAGCAAACGTAGGCTTCTGCTAAACATTGGAGCCCTGAATAAAAATATACGTTTCAAAAAGGAACAATTAAAAAGGTTTATTCAATGCTAAAAAAAGAAAATATTTTATAGTCATTGGAATACAAAATTTAAAAACCCAGAAATGTTGAATTTGAAAGAAGAGTGTAGGAATACTAACTTCCAAAGATAATAATAATGAACATACAAGTTTACTTTCATTGTTACATTGACATCCTGAACTCCTTAACTTCCACACAATTCAAGGCATTAAAAAGTGATGCTTAGCTGCCAACAATAATCACAAGATGTTATTTAGTATTTTCAAGATGAATGAAAGAATGAATTAGCAATAACTCATGAGGTGCATGTATAAGATGTAGCTCATTTCACACATCAGACTGAACACTTTTAAGGCAGTCCAGCAACAAATGCAAACCCGGCTAAAATTCCACGTAACCATAGTAACAAGGGAACAAGTATGTTGACTTTGAATTGCTGGTTTTTGACAATTTGTCAAAGAGGTCTTTCAGAGAGCTACATTTTCACACCAGTCATGTAACAAGGAAGAGCTACAGAACTTGCGCCCAGAGCAAAATAGTTGATTACATAAAGTACTTGTATAGAGATTTAGCTGTTTGTATCACAGTGTAATGTTGACTATCCCATTTCTAGTTTTGCTATGTGAAGAGAAACCCAATATAACAACACTTAAAAGACACGAAACAGACTTTCACTCTCAGGAATGAATTTAGCAACATTAATCAATTATTCTGTTTTCTGATGACAGTATGAGAGGCTGTGGTAATGTCACGCCTCCAACATTTTGCTGATGATAGATCAGTAGTATAGAGGGTAATTTTCCAACTTTAAGACCCAGCTTGTTTTTGTCAATAGCATTCTCTCTGCAAATTTTTTTCTGGTTTTTATTGTAAAACTACTGGAGGCCAGAAGGTTCAGACAAAATGGAGACCCTTGACTGGACCATATTCCCCAGAAAGCTGTGGGAGGAGAAAGAACAAATGACTGACCAAGGAACTGTGGAACTTCACTCACTGAAGTGTGATTAAAATAACTCACTTTTAAAGTGTTTCCAACTTAACCAAAGGTATTTCTCAATTACATTTGTCACCAGTTGGCCTGTGATGGATACACTGCCTTGCGCTCCACAACCGACTGACCAAGGAACTGTGGAACTAGTTAGGGACTAGACGTCTAGATAGCAACTGAAAATTAAGCTAGGTTTTTGTTTGATTTGTTTTCCCTTTACACTGTATGGGTTTCAAAATAGCCAGATTTTTTTATAGATCTATTTACTACATTTTGTAAAGATGCAAGACAGTTATACAATATTGTGCATTTCACTTACTGTACATATTGTATTTTAGTTGTTAGTAAATGTCAGGGCATAAAAGAAGAGGAAGGGAATTATTTTGTTTTAACATACAGGTAAGCCTCAAACTGGTTATTCCAGCATAATGAAATGCTTTGTCTGTTTTTTTACATGACTTTCATACATTCTTGCTTCCAGTACTGATGTTTCGCATGCATGATGTGCAGTTCAATCCTGATCACTTCTGAAGAAAAACAGATATTTCTCATATCCAGAAGAGTAGTGAATTTTGCTAAATTTACACAAAAAGAAAACTTTTAAAAAAGCTGTCAGACTAGACTCTGAATTTTACTCAGGCATGCTGTCAACTGGTTTTGAAACAGTTGCCCTTTATTTTTCACAAGCTGAGGAGTTCAAAGTCCCAGTCTGACATTGAACCTGAGAGCTGTGGAAATGCCAGTGGAAAGGGCTGTGAGATTGATGCTCTTAGTCTTAGTTTTGCGTTTCTCAGAAATTTGGCGTGCACCACTATACTCCTGCGTAAAAAAACAGGCCTTCATAACTTTCATTATATACCCATTTGTATGAGTTATACAGTCGTTATAATTTGAGAAAGTAATAGACTTTTCTAAAGGGACATATTTTTAAAGATGTCATGTTATACAAAAGCGAAAGAGCAAAATGTTGTTTTGTATTAAAAGTCACCTTGTATTTTATGGATTTAATAACCTGCCTTGCAGATGTTTTTATAATGCAAAATGTCTTCAAGAATTGTGCTGTGAGTAGAACTTTAATATGTCAGACCTGCTCAACAGGAGAAGGCAATATCCAGAAGAGTGTGAGTGTACGATCCATCAACACTCATATTTCATTTTTTATACCTCTACAGAAAAATGCAGAGCACAAAAACAAACAAAGATACAGCAGGTAAGTTTAAAATAACCTGTTTTTCCCAGGTACAGTGCAAAAAAAATCAGGGTAGTACTACCCTGTTTTGAAAAAAATATGACAGTTTTTATGAGATTTAAGGATCACACTTACACTAATATATAAGCACTAAAAAAGTATTTTTATATTTCTACGGGAGTATGTGTGTTAATGTAATGTGATCTAAGTAAAAATCCCATTATACAGTCAACACATCTATAGAAAATGTCTTGGCAAGTGACAAACTTATCCCTGAAGAGAGGCTTTAGAATGTGACTTTCTAAAAATAAAGACTTTTCTATTTTCCTCACGGCTCACTATTGCCTGAGTTTACACACCAAACACCTTTTTGTGGCTGCATAGGCAATATAAGCAGAATGAAAACTGACAGTGATTGAAAGAGGACAGAAAAGTCAATACACCCTCTTTGATTTATCAAACTCCTCTCCAGGCAGGAAGAGGAGTCCTCACAATAGACGTTCTGTCAAAACGTTAAACTGCATCTCTTTGAAATAAAACATTGTCGGGAACTGGAAAAAATGGGACATGATAAAACAGGTTAGAAAATTCTGAC